CAGATATGTGTGCTAGAATCAACACTGGATAGAGTTCCTGGTTGATTATACACAAGGTGACAAATAAATGTGTACCTTTCACATAAAGTGTAATAGGGGACGATGTTATGGTACCCAATCAGATTATTTACGGATACAACAGGCAGAAATATTATCTTTTCCTGCATCAATCCGCTGGGACAAGCAAACTCTCCTTTTTAGTAAACTACATTACCTTCTCCCTAATGTTAAATGCTGGATTTTTCTGCTGAAATATTTGATTTATTCAATGGGTAACCCCTCCACACACAAATATCAAAGTATCCTAGCTTTGTTTTGTTCAAGGAAAGTTTAGCTCAGTGGTCTTAAAGCCATCAAGCCCTGAGCAAAACTGCAGGCAATAACAACTGCCACAAGAGGGCAGAATAAGAGTATATGTACATCAAACCAGGACAGACTCAAGCTGTTACTTCCTGGCTTCAGGGAAAAAATAAATCCCCATCACAGAGACCATTGTAAAGCACTTTGTACACACGCTGAAGCAGCCTGAATAACCCAGACTAGCCCAAGGTAATCAGAACTGGGAAGCTAAGCCAGGTTGGCCCTGGTTAGTACTTGGATAGGAGTCCACCATGGAAGACCGGGGTCGCTACGCAGAGGCAGGCAATGGCAAACCACCTCTGAATGTCTCTTGCCTTGAAAACCCCATGAGTGGTTACCATAAATCAGTTGTGACTTTATGGCACTAAATTGTCATTAATTACACACAATGAATGATGGTGCTACAGAGATTATTAATGTTAAAGAGAACATGAACAGATTTCATATAACATGTTAACATGTTGTGCTACTGGGAAAGCAGGGATCTCCAACAGGTAGCTTGTCAATTGCTGCATGTTAACTATTGCATCCTGTAGAAGACCCAGAAAAAGATCTGCTCTAGGCTCTTTCTTGCTTTCTTTTCTTTTAAGGAAAGGTTTTATTGGTCCCGGTCACACGGCAAAGTTGCCGTGGGAGAGGCACGGGAGATTTTCCGGGCGCAATCACACCCCAACATCTGGGAAGCACAGTGCTCCCGTGGCGAACCCGTGGCTCCCCGCCGAAGGTGCGGATTAAAAAACTGGTACTTACAAGGTACTAGTTTCCGGAAACTGCGGGCCAAGGGCGGGTGTCTGATCGCATTTCCGGTGGACTTACGTGGCATCCGGCGCCCGTCTCCAAAGGCTGCGCAACAGCGGCCAACAGCGCATGCGCACAAAGAGCAATTGCTAGTGCGATTGCACCGCGCGGCTTCTGTGCCGCACTGCAGGATACCCGTCTGGTCGGCATCTCCCCCCTAACCACGGGACCTCAACCGGGACGTGTGCTCATGCGGCCGCGCGTTAGTTTCCTCCGGGGCAATTAGCCACGCCTCCCCCCCCATATCTGGCCCGTGTGACCAGGGCCATTTTACAGTATTTTTCTCTGTGCTGCTTAGCTGATACTTCATTTCTGGTGCTCTTCCTAGTCCATGTTCTGTTTCTAGGACAGAACTAAACTTGGTAACAGGCTGGGAGCCAGGGAAGTAGCTCTGGATACTCTTCATTACTCAGAAATAGTACTCATTAAAGATTGGTGACACCCAGTATAAAGGGAAAGGCAAGAAGGCCAAATTCCCAGGCATATTTACCAAGGTCTTGTTCCCTCTATCCAGTCACTCCAAACACTCAAGTGCCCTATTTTAGGTAGTTTTATTGTATTTAGTTATATTGTATTTTGTAGTGTTTTTAATTGCAATCCACCTCAGGTCTCTGCAAGAACGGTGAGTATAAATTTTAAAAAATGACCCAATGCCATCTCCTTTGCTGGTGGTGGAAAGTGCCGTCAAGTCACAGCCAATTTATGGCAATAGGTAGGGTTTTCAAGGCAAAAGATGTTCAGAGGTGGTTTAGCCATTGCCTGTCTCAGACCTGGGACTTTCTTTGGTAATCTAACATGCAAACACTGACCAGGGCCAACCCTGTTTAGCAGCTGAGATTGACAAAACCAGGCTACCTTGGACTATCCAGGTAGGGGAAACATCCTTTTTTGCCTCCAATTAATTCCTAAATTAATCCACTAGTCTGGCCTCTTCCAGCACAACACCCGAAACGGACAACTTTATACTGTTAATTTCTGTCTTCTCTAGAATTTTAGGAGGATTTTTGCAGGCTTTTGGTATGCATGTTATTGAATTTTACTGAATGCATGTTATTGAATAGGGCTTTTGTGATCGTCTGAGGAAAGGCAGTATATACTACTTAAAAGAGAAACGTCCCAAATTTTTACCTCCACTTTCCCCACCCCCATTCTGAGTTCTTTCACACGAGCTTCCGCTTCAAGATCCGTCCTTTCACTCTCAGCACCTTCCACACTAGACCTGACAAATACAGGCCCCCCCCCCGTGTCCATTTCACCCTCTGACCCCATACAGTAGCCCCTAAACCCCACCCCTTCATAGTACACTTCTCCCCCTCGACTCACACAAACACACACACACACACACACACTTTGCAACAACGCCTCCCACGACCCACAGCGCGCGCGCGCGCACCGTCCGTGCAGCCAGCGCCCCTTCTCCGTTCATTTTTGGGCTCTTCTTCTTCCCGCCTAAAAATTGCAGTGCGAGCCGAGTCGGCGGCTCCCCCGGCTATCCAGTTTCCCTCCGAGGTTTACCTCACGCGCCCAAAAGAGAAGCGCCTTCTGTCTGGAAAGGTCCCTCCCCTCCGTGCGACACGTTTATAATCTGAGCACCAAATTTACGCTTCAGCAGATCTCCCCACACCAACTGTCTTCCACCTTCCCTTTCATTCAGAACTCCTTCCCACAATCACCTCCTCAGCTCCCCAAAATCAATCTGTCTGTCTGTCTGTCCAATCTCACACGCTTCAATTTTCTGGCTTTAATTCTCCCCCCCCCCCCCAATCTAACACCCTGTGGATCCCTTTCACATTTCTAACCCTATATCTGAATTCACATTTCAGAAGTACCCTCCACACAAACATAAGTTTACAGACTTTTGCTACCTCATCTCTTTGAACTCTTATGCTTTGCTCCTCGGGTTTTCTTGAGGCACACTTTCCCCTAGGGAATGCAATCCTGCCTTGTAAGGCAAGGAGTTTGGGATCAAACTGGCATGAGTTAAAACATTGTTTCTGACAGTGAGGGTGAAAGTAGGTATCTGCCTCAACTGCTGAGGAAACAAGTGGAGCAGTGGGGGTACTTGAACAGACTGGGATCTCCTAAAGGATGCCTGCCCTAGCTAGAGCATTTTGGGTTCTTATTTATGCCATAGTATTCCCCATTATTATACATGGGTATGAAAGCTGGACAATGAAGACAGCTGACAGGAAGAAAGCTTATTCCTTTGCATGTGGTGTTAGAGATTTACAGATACTGTGGACCTCCAAAATGACAAATCAGTGGGTTCTAGCTCAAAGCATGCCTGAACACTCCCTAGAAACTAAAATGACTAAACTGAGGTCATCATCCTTTGGTCACATAAGAAGACAAGAGTCATGGGAAAAGACAATAACGATAAGAAGAGTCGAAGGCAGCAGGAAAAGAAGAAGAGCCAACATGAGATGGATTGACTTAATTGAGCAAACTTCAGAGGTCGGCGGAAGACAGGAAGGCCTGGCGTGATCTGGTCCATGGGGTCGTGAAGAGTCGGACTCGACTGTGCAACTGAACAACAACAATTCAGGAAGCCACAGCCCTCAGTTTGCAAGGCTATTAAAGATAGGATGTTTTGGAGATCATTCATTCATAGAGTTGCCATAAGTTGAAAGCAACTTAATGGCACTTAACACATCCACATTAAAAAAACATATTTCACTATAATCTGAATATACAGTTTACATCAGGCATGCCAGTGCTACACAGCAAACTAGAAGTTGTGTAGTGGGTTTACAACAGTGCCAGAGAACCTGGGAGCGTGCACCTGGTGGATAATATATGCAGAACCAGCTGCCTTGAGGTGGCTGGCAAAATGTCTTGGGCTGACTCTGTTAAGTACAGTATGTCTCAAGAGGTCTAGAACACCAAAAGGAACTAATACAATGGAATAAACACAAACATATATCTTAATACCCATATCTCATGGTTTTGTGGGCTTGGAAAGAATCTGTGTTTGTATACAGCAGATTACCAGATTTTCAGAAGCCATGTTGTGCCTAGGGTTTTGCCATGCTTCATCATTCCTTTTTTTAAGACGCAAAGCACTACCACAATACTGTTCTTTGTACTTCTTGTTATGTCAGAGCAGTGGGAAGAAAAGGAAGGGCGGAAACATGGCCTCAGAAACCTGATTATCAATCCTTATTTTTAAACTATGTCCTTTATTTCCTATCATTACCACCCGACAGGGGAAAGGGATACTACTTATTCTGAAACCTACAGAGAGATTCTGAGTCTCTATTCTATTTGGCATTTTAATTTGGCAGCCACCAGTGTCAGGCCCACACGTTTCCACGGGGGCTGAGACTGGCAGAGCTCTTTGACAATTTGCTTGTGCACATAATGTTTTTGCTGAATGTACCATGTATAACTACTTAAAGGTAGGCTGTAATCATAATCCACCCCCCACCTCCTGGATTCTCATTTCCCTATAGCAAATCTAGATACTGCTTACAGGGAGGCGAGCTTTGCAAAGCAAAGATGGGAAAAAAATGTAAAATTCTTTGGCATAAAATTTTAGACACATGGAAATTTTCCAGTCTTACAAGCACAGGTAAATAGGGGTGTTACCTTTAGGTACAGCAGCAGGGAAGAATGTTAACATGAGCTCAGGCTCGTTCCAATTATATCAGAAACTGATTTATGCTTAAATTCTTGGTCATCTGTCTCTCTCTCTTCCCACCTTACTGTGGGAACAGGCTTGAGGAGTGCATGTATACCTGGCTGAATGACAAAAGGCTCTGAAACTTTTTTTGCATTTCTTTCCAGGTGGGCCACGCTGCTTGCGTCCCTACAGCTGAATTTAGTAACACAGGCTGGCCAAACTGACTGCAGTGTGCAGATCAGATAGCATGCACACACCCACGTCTCTGTAGAAGCTCCTGCCAGCTACCGGTGGCCTGCAGTGGATCATGGCTTCTCCTAGGCTCTGGGCTGTTGACTATGAGGTTTATGGGGATGTCCAGGGTGAGTTCATCCAGTTTCTCCCTCTTGTCGTGCCATTGTTTTGCTGCTATCTATGGGATTTTTTTTACTATACGGAGGTGGCTTTTTAGTTCCCTTCGGGCTTATGCTGCAAATAGTCCTTGAAATAAGATGCCAGCAGCTCTCTTTTCAGACTGCAGAATCCTGCTTTCGTTATACTGCAGTGATGCTAGCTGGAGCTGCCACACAGCCAGAAAGGCTGTGTGCAAGGATAGCAAAGGAAATTAATAGAAGCGAATACACATGGGTCTGTGTGTGTGTGTGTGCGTGTGTGCGTGCGTGTGAAGGAGGCTAATTGAGAACATTAAGGTAATTTGATGTTGAGTCCACATATGGTAGAACAGATAGGGGAGCTTGTTTCTCCTTAGTGCTGAGATCTGGGCCATTTCGGGCTGGGAAGCTAAGCATCTTTGATTCAACCTCAATTTTTTTTTGGGGGGGGGGGGTAACCAAGCTGTTAAAATCCATTTTGTGACATGACCTGTGACATTCAGGAAGGAGCACAGCTTAAGCTATCATAGAAAGAAAAAGGTCCTTAAAAGGCAGTTTCCATGGCAAATAAAGAAAGCTGAGGCTCATGTGATACTTCCATATCCTTTTGTGGCTTGCCTGCCTTCTACAGCTAACATTCACATTCCCACATATAATAAGCTAAAAACTGGTAGTTATCTAGAGGCTTTCTGAACCCTTGGTTGAATTGCTGTAATGTCATGGAATGTTCATCATAATTCCAACTGCTTCAACTGAAGTTATTTGCAATAGAGTGGCCACGGTCACACGGGAGGTTTTGCCCCGCAAGAGGGACGGATCGGGGGCGCATCAAATGGGCGCAATCACACCGCAACATCTGGGAAGCAGAGTGCACCCGTCCCCGATCCGTCCTTTCCGGGAGAAAACGTGCATTAAAAAAACCCCTAGAAAAGAGTACTACCTACCTGAAGCTCCGCAGCAAGGGCGGCCGTGGGATCGCTGGCACGCCTGTCTTCCGCAGCATTCGAGGCTCCTGGCCAAACTGCGCATGCGTGCACATGCGCAGCCGGCTGCCTCGCTCTCAGTCCCGTGGCTTCCCCCCGGCATCTGATTGTGCCGGGGAGCAACGCAGCAGCTCGGGGATCTGTCTGATCCCACCTCCGCGCGTCTATTTTGCTGTGGCTCTGAAAAGCTGCGCTTTGGTCGTGCTTTCCCCTGTGTGACCGGGGCCAGTGTTAACCAAGCATGCAGCCACCATGAAGGAAGTTGGACGGAAAAACTTTGGATGGGATGGAGCCCTGCAACAGGAGGTACTGTCTGCTGCTGGCCAAGAGGGAGTGGGTCAGTGGACAGACAAAGGGGCTTTAGAGGCTGGTGAGTCAGGAAGCCAAGGGGGCAGTAAGGCCACAGTTCAGGAACAAAGTTTCACGCCAGTACATACTAAGTACCCTGTTAAAATCCCATAAATGGATGACAAAACCTCAATTGGTTGGCTTGGGTGGTGCAGCAATAAGAGGATGCATAGTGGGGAAGGTTGGGTTGATTAAACAAAGTTGCCATGTTGTACTGATCAGCTAGCAACAAAGGCTGCAACATCTGAACTCCTACAAATTATAACTCAAATTTATATCCTGCCCTACCCACAGTTAGAAATAGAGTGCCTCCTGGCTAGCTGAATGTATAAGGAATTTAAAACCTCGAAGCTGTATAGCAGTAATCCACAACATGGCACCTGCTGATATATTTCCTGTTATCCACTTAGATCTTATTGGAGATAAAATCCAGAGTGTCTTGAACGGAACAGAAAAAACCAGGGAGCTTTGGGTTACTCACCCACAGACTGATTAGCAAAAAGCTAATGTCATCCTGGGTAGATGCATCACAGCTATGCCCCCTTGACTTGGCCACAAATACAGACTTTCACAGAATCATAGACTCACAGAGCTGGAAGGGGCGATACAGGCCATCTAGTCCAAACCCTTGCTCAATGCAGGATCAGCCTAGAGCATCCCTGACAAGTGTTTGTCCAGCCACTGCTGAAAGACTGCCAGTGAGGGGGAGCTTACCACTTCCCTAGGCAGCTTTCTTAAGTGTCTGGGCTTGGAAAACCAGTAGCAATTTGGAGGGCAAAGTCTTCCTCTTTTTTGGAAACTTAAACAGCATCTCTGCCCCAAAGCAAAGAGCCAGTCCCATCTTTCTTCTGCTTTATCAGCACATGGGGTGCTTCAGATGTGTCACATTTGCATCCTCAGGGTATCTGCATTCGGCAACAGCTGCCTCTGTTTTAGAAGTATGCTTGGCTTGAAACCTCCCAACATTTTGTAGAGCCTTCCAACGTTTTCTGATCGGCCCTGTACCATGGCAGCCATTTTTTGGTCACACCCACTACACTACGAACTCTGAAGCTCCCTAACACTTATTATGGATGGGGACCCTTGTTATGTAGAACTGAATTTTGACCAGTCAAATAAATGTTAGTGAACTGACTGGTTGAGTACCAGGCTAATAACAATAATGAATTTTAAACATTAATTCATTATATCGGTAACAAAAATCTTGACATTTTATGTTAATTACAGAAACTAGTGTAAGACTGCAGAGTCCAGCTGCTCCCAGAAACATCATTCAGCTCCATGCCAAATCACATGAAAACGCCTTTTCTTCAGAACAAATGGTCAGGATAGTAACATTCTAGCTAGCTATTAACCTTAGAGTTGTGAGACAGTGGTGTCGGTGTATGTGTGTCATAGCAGTTCCCATTCTGAAATCCCTGCAGTCACAACACAGTGCCAGAATCTGAACCCGTGTGGCTTGATTCGGAAGGGATAAGGCCAATATTGAAAGTAATAAGCTGTGGCTGGGAAGCCTGACTCTTACAAGATTGGGGAGCATGGGTCCTTTACTTCTCCCATTGTTATTAGATGAGTCCATGATGTAATAAAAAGGTTTGAACAGTTAGAATGCTGATGAACATTTCGTGACATAAGAACTCAGCCAGTGGCTAGGAAGGCCTGCAACACCAGCTCTTAGCCCATTGTGTAGAAGAGTGTGAATGTTAGTCCTAGCTCTGATGTGTACTTCAGAGGGCAAGTAGAACCCCTTGAATTCCTAGGATTCCATTTACATTCTTGACTTTATGGAATACTAGGAAAAAGGCCCGTTGTGGAAATAAATACAACGGCCTCTAGAAAGAGGCTCTGGGCGGGTGTCCCGGCCTTGGACACTCAGTGTCAATTTGCTGTGGCGACCTCAGCAGGGTATAATGACACTGAGTCCACCATTTTCTCCAGAGGAACTGATCTCTGCTACCTAAAGAACAGTTGTAATTTTGAGTGATCTCCAGCCCTCACCTGGATATTGGCAACGATGGTTCCCCAGAAGGTAATAGTTGGTTTGGAGGGTGGAGTCTATGGCTTTGTACCTGTCCGAGGTCCCACGCCTCCTGAAACCTCACCCTCTCCAGGCTCCATTCTTCACATCTCTAGGAATTTCCCACCTGGAGTTTGCAACCCTATCTTCTTCCCAGCCAATCATCAACCTACCTTTATTTCCCCCTCATTCTTCAGCTTTCCACCCCCCACACACCTGCAGCCTCTCCCGTGCTCTGAAGCCCTGACTGCTACGTCACATTGGCTGTCATACGGGGGCCACCTCAGCAGCATATAAGGATACAGAGCCCACCATTTTCTCCAGGGGAACTGATCTCTGCCATCTGGAAAGCAGTTGTAATTCTGAGTGATCTCCAGCCCTCACCTGGAGATTGGACACATTTTACTTCAGAACAGCAAAACTGTTTAGAATGTTAGAGGCAAAAGCCAATCAAGTCGCATATGCAAACGACCTCTGTGTTCCAAGGCAGAGGCCAATGAGGCTGCATATGCAAATAACCTCTGTGTTCTGACTGGCTATGGGGGGGAGAGGATTAGCAAAATGTTTAGAATGTTGGAGGCAGGACTCAGGCAAAGCAGCAATAACAGATCAGAGAGCGAACTGATTTTGGAGCGTGTGGAATGTTCTAGAGAAGTGCCACCACCATTCGGCTTTTATTTATAAGGGAGATTTGACCACAGTCATATGACAGGCAGGCAGTTGGTAATATTTAACCGGCCAATTGACCAATATCCCAGCTCTGGAGCTGTGTGTAGTAGTATTGTTGGATCATCTTAATTTGTGCCAGTTGCCTTCATAACGGGTACCATATGTAATCTAGCTTATCAGGGATTTCATATTCCTTGTTCATAAGATCTGAATTATCAGTTTTATACTCAGAAGCTGATCATACTCTTTGGACAGGTATTAGGGAGTTCCCCTTCTGGCAAATTTGAGTTCTGTGGCTCAGAAGGCTCCAGATGCTGCTTTATGATACCATTAAACCATTGTGGTCACTAATGTTTGTTACTAACGTATTAATGTGATCACTGACAGACTTGTCTCTCTTTCTTCTCCTAGGTGTCTTCTTTAGAAAGGTAAGGCATAACCCACAGTGGGATGTGGAGAGGCAATCCACAGCACAGTCAAATGTGATGCTTTCTAAATCAAGGTTCAGGGGCCAGAGGCAGGCAAGTTTTTAACTGAACACTACACTACTGTAGAACAAATTTAGAGTCCAATGGCACCTTTAAGACCAACAAAGGTTTATTCAAGGTATGAGCTTTCATGTGCATGCACACTTTATCAAATACATTAGAAATAAATTATAAATAAATGATAAAGTGTGCATGCACACAAAAGCTCATACCTTGAATAAACCTTTGTTGGTCTTAAAGGCGCCATTGGACTCTAAATTTGTTCTACTGCTTCTGACCAACATGGCTGACCAACTGAATCTAACTACATTGCTGTAATAGTAATGTACTATCGATAGGAAAAGCATTCATCTTCACAATTACACTTTTCAGGCCAACCACTTGCACCTGTAGCCCACCTGGATGCAGGCCCAAGCCTAGCAAGTGGGTTGGGCCACTGAGATTATGGATATCCAAATAAGATGCCCATAGCAGCAGACAGGAGGACAGTATGCAGAAGCAGAGTGAAGCATGGACTTCTGAAAATAACAAGGAAGCCCCACCTTATCAGTAGCAAACCACAGGTAGAATAATACCCTATTCTCTGACTGGATGAGTTTGTATTGGCTGCCTGCCAATTAGAAGGCTGGGAGCCCATTAGAAATCCTTGTAGAAAGAAAGAAAAAATAGTATCTTGTGACATCATAAAGACTAATTAATTTATTGTAGCATAAGCATTGTTGGGCCAGACACCATTTTGTTGGATTCTCAGAGTCTTCTTATTAGAAAAGTAAAAGAGATTTAATTGTTTTTAGGGCTCCTTAGTTTTGTCATGAGCTTTGAAAGACTAGGGTTTAATTTCAACTAGATTGTTGGCGGGGCTATTATCACAACACGTGCTGTGCCGTTGAAGTCCAGTCCTTAAGAGATTATAGCAAAGCGCCTGTCATAAATCCAGACAATCATTGTGAAGTTGTGTTTCCCTCTTTTCCATCAACCCCCCCTAAGAACAAAAACATAGGCATGTCTGAAGGAAAATCACAAATCATATACTACATGCAGCACATCTAAAGCAGCTAGCATAACCTCAGAGCACAATTTTTCAATGGAGGCAGTTCTAATGTTCAGTGATGAGTCATCAAGTGAAGAGATGTGCATTTGTGAATCAACCTTCAAATTCCATTCAAGTTTCTTTGACTTGTGTCTTTGTGGCTTTTTTCACTAGTACACCGAAGAACAGGGAAGGAAATTGGGGGTGGTCGGCTGGGTGAAGAACACGGCTCATGGGACTGTGACTGGACAAGTACAGGGTCCAAAGGAGAAAGTAGAGATCATGTAAGTCTGTGATTCAGCTGGCAGGGGTGGAGTTGCATCTTGGGAGAAAAAGCTGGAAGATGGTAGGTAAGGTGGAAGCATTTGCATTAGTTACCTCTAGAAGAGAATGAGGAAGGATGCATGTTTCTCCATGCATTTATGTGCAGATTCACAAAACTTTTCCAAATACAAGTAGTAAGAGGTTTCAGAAGTTAGTGGCAGGTCTTGGAATTCAAGTCTCCCGTAACATCTAGCAGAAGTCCAACAGAACTGCAGTTGGAATTGTTCTTTTCTATACTTGCTGGCTGGCAAATGATCAGTGTGCCTCTGGCAATGAGCAGAGCACCCTTCTGGTTTCAAAGCACTCTAGAGCAAGGCCTAAGCATCAGGGCAGAATGGAGAAGGGGGACACTTTACTGGTGCTTAGGGGGCTTGGCTTGGACTGTGAAAATATTTTAACAATATGATCTTTTGATGACATTTTGGAAATAAAATATAAATGTTTCTTTCATTATTTGTAAGATGGTTATTTGAGGGGGACCATGGGCATGCAGGTGTTCATGTTAAAAATTTGTACCAGGCCAAAACAAATTATGCTGGGGCCCTGCTCTTGAGTCCCATCGTGTACAGTACTACTGATGATATTGTTTAACAGCTGTTGAGGAGCAGTATAGTACACTGTGCTGTACAGAATATAGAAGTTACATGTTCTCCTCCCCAGACCAGACCCTCTCATTAACAATCTTTTTATTGAAAATCAAGCACCCAAATGGGTGGGCCATTTCAGGTTTGTTAGGGCAGCAAAGAGATTTTAGCAGCAGGACAAAATCCCCAGCAAATGTCGTTTCTTTGATATATTCAGTGTGGCAAATTAAGTTCAGTGTTGGTAAGTGTAAGATCGGAATGCAGATCGGAATGAAAAATCCCACCTTGAAGTATAAATTAATGGAGTCTAAACTTACTGAGACTGAGAGAGAAAAAGATTTTGGGATTGTAGCAGATAGCTCAACAAAAGTGTCAGCCCAGTGTGTTGCAGTGGCAAACTCTATGTTAGGGATTATTAGGAAAGGGATTGAAAATAAAACAGCTTGCCGGGGGACATGGTAGAGGTTTTAAAATTATGCATGGGGTGGATAGAGTTGACAAAGAGAAATTCTCTCTCTCTCAAAATACTAGAATTTAAGGACATCCAATGAAGCTGATGGGCAGTAGATTCAGAATGGATGAAAGGAGTACTTCTTTACACAGCAAGTGATTAAAATGTGGAATTCACTGCCAGAGGATGTAGTGATGGCCACAGGCATAGAGAAACTTTAAAAGGGGGTTAGAAGATTCATGATCTGTCAGTGGCTACTAGGCATGGAGACTAAAGGGAACTTCCACATTAAGAGGCAGTAAACCTCTGAATCCCTAAGCCAGGAGGCAACATCAGGGGAAGGCCTCAGCCTTTGTGCTGTGCTGTTGGCCCTCCAGAGGAACTGATTGGCCACTGTGTGAGGCAGGATGCTGAACTAGATGGTTCACTGGTCTGATCCAGCAGGGATCTTATGTATTTAGTTACCAGAGATATAAGTTCTCTTGAGGAGTAATCATCTGTTGTCTGAAAAACACACTTCTGTGTGACTCCTTCCCCTTTCCTTCCTCAATGGTGTCCCGATTTCCAACAGGAGGAATACTGGTAAAAGTAAGAAGAAGGGATGGTCTACTGGAATTATTCCTTTTACCTTTAATTGAAGGAAACCCTTTAATAACAATTTACATCGCCCCCTTCCTGCCCCATTTGAAATTTCAAAGTAGGACACTTCCCAAGACTCTGTTCCCATAGTGAATTGACACCCTGTAAATCTGGAACTTGAATCATCTTGCAATTAATTAGTTGGTCCAGGAGGAGATGAGGGAAATTGCTTTACGGATCCTTTGGCAGGAGCAATGGGCAGGGGTGGGGGACGGAGAAGGGAAGGGAAGGTGTGGTGCCAGGCCACCCCTGGGGGTGGAGAGACACAGGCTCTGTCACCTTCAGAAGGATGACAACCAGAGGCAGTTTCCATAGTGACAAGTCTTCCCCTATCACCTTGAAGAGAAGAGAGGGAGAGAAAACATGTGAGGAAGGGAGAGAGAACATGCGAGGAAACTGGGACAGTTTCCATAGCAACCTTCCTCTCCATCTCTTCTACCTTCATGTCTTTGAAGGGGGAGGGGAAAATTGGGGCCGCTTCCATAGCAACCAGTCTATTTCATCCTTTGCCTTCGTGTGCAAGAGATAACTAGAAATTAGATAATCCATAGCAACTAGTATTCCCCCAGTTTGTTCCATTCAGCCCTTCCCCTCGTTTTCAAGTCCTGGCAGGGAATAGAAAGCAAAGATGTACAACCATCAATCTAGCCTCCTAACTTCAATTTGAGGTGGTTTTCTTTTTTGCTTGAAGGGAGGAGGATCACAAGCAGGCTTTGGATCCGTAATTCATACCTACCCCATGTCAGGTTTCTGAAATAATTATCAGTTGGGCAGTTCTCTTGAGTCTGGGAAGTGTATGGAAAGTTGTTTTATGTTACAGAGGAAGTTTCATTCATTTTTAAAAATAAATATTCTAATAGTAATAATAAGAAAAAATCTGCCTGTGGAGCACCAGAGACTGCCACGATTATTTTCCATTCCAGGGCTTGGTGGTTGGAAACTACTCTTCTGTTGGAAACTTTTGGTCACTAATCACTAAAACAATTGATTCTACTAATAGTTTTCTGATTCTGATCCCCGTATTTATGCTTTACTTTCCTTTTTACTGCAGTGTCTGGCATGGCTTACTTGTTTGAGGTAGCTAGAGCCATTTACTCTAACAACATCTTTCTGCAGTGCAGATTTTTTTTCCCTGCACAATATGGTCTGGAATGCATAAAGTCAGAGGCTCTGTTCTAAAGCTACATCCATTAGACTTGTTGGCCTTCTGTTTCTATGAACACACATGTTCCTGGTATGAAGATGCAGATAGTAGAGGAGGGCCTGTAAGAAAGAGGAGTACAGCGTGGGTGTACTATTAACATGTACCTCTTCCTCTCCCAGGAAGAACTGGCTGCGCAGCGTAGGAAGCCCCATGTCACGTATTGATCAAGCTGTGTTCTCTGAAGAGAGAGAGATCTCCAGCCTGGAGTTCCAGTCTTTCACCACAAAGTACTAGAACCAGTTGGCTGGTTGGGCTGGGACGTCCATCCCTAGCTACATCGAGGGATTTTTCCCTCAGAAGAAAGCAGTGCTATACCATCCTCCCTTGTTGGACAGGCTCTGCTGCTGCTGTGGACATTATGAAATTGATCTCTAGGACCACTTTGGATCCCTCAAGCTTGTAGCTACTTGGGAAGTACCCATCATCCGTTTTGTGCCCAACAAGGAGTCGTGTGTGATGCCCAGTGCTCTCTTCACCTATGGACTGTTGCTGTGTGGCTGAGAGAATTCTAAAATGGGGTGGGGGGGGGTGCTGCCCAATGTCTTCCTCCCAGGAGAACTTTGCAGCCTCATCCCCTTCAACATGAGTTCATAAACACTGACTAGTCGTTAGCAATCTCCTTTGGACAGACATGATAATGAAAGGCTTGTAAATAACAGTTCTTCACCCTCATGTTGGAGGCAGGCTGCCTTTTCTCCCTTGCCTTAACTTCCACTTGGCAAAGATATTAGATTATTGATAAAATATACAAACCTCATTCTTTGCGGGGTTGGGCAGGGTGAAGTGAGGGGAGGACATGAGGAAGATAATTTTTTGTTGTGAGAAATATTCCCAATAGTCCAGAGATTGTAGAATAGGTTCTCTTCTAACCTTTATTTTGGACAAGTAGGTTCTGAGAGGGTCAACCCCATTTCCCCAAAATTCCTTGATTTAGGAGGATGAGGCATGCAAAGATGTAGTGTTTAGACAGGCCTTCTCCAGATGAAAAATTGTCAGCTTCAAAATTCTCATTAACTCTTTATATTATATCATATTTGAATAATTAATACACTTTTTGTTCCTCTCCTGAGCTATGGCTATAATGTGGAACCTGTAAGTATTTGTAAAAGAGTCATATTTCCTTTTTTTATTTCAGTAGTCCCATTTATATCCTTGTGATACAAAAGAGGGTTCCCTCTAGTGCACAACTTGCTGCGTGCACCCCTGCCAACACTAATAAAACATACCTTTGTCACTACACATTGCTTTTCTCTAAAATTGCTGGCTTGTGGTATATTCAAACAATGCAGCACCCACATTCATCACTAAAATGTAAAAGATTTCAAGATGGTACATTCTGTGTATGTATGTCAAATAGCTATATGCAAGTAATGGTAAGTGATGGCGCTTGAAATGAAGGAAGCAATTGGGCAAGAAGCTATACCCACAACATTTGTATTAGGAGGAAAACCCATTCTGTTGAAGTGCTTCTCAGTCCTGATGGTTGCTTGTACTGTATTTTCTTTGATGCTAGGTCTGAGTACACAGGAGGGAAATGATACATCCAGAATTGCTACCAAAAAAAGTCTGGAGTCAATTAGTAGGAACCTGGGCACAGTGATGTTCCTTTATCTTACTCTAACATGTCTGTTATTGTATTGACATGTACATGTATTGAGAGTCCCTTGGACTGCAAGAAGATCAAATCAGTCAATCCTAAAAGAAATCAACCCTGACTGTTCCCTGGAAGGCCAGATAATGAAACTGAAGCTCAAATTCTTTGGCCACCAAATGAGAAGGGAGCACTCACTGGAGAAGACCCTGATGCTGGGAAAGATTGAAGGTCAAAAAAGACGGGGACGGCAAATGATGAGATGGTTAGACAGTGTCATAGATGCAACGAACATGAAGTTGAGCAAACTTCAGAGGACGGTGGAAGACAGGAAGGCCTGGCAGGATCTGGTCCATGGGGTTGCGAAGAGTTGGACTCGACTGTGCGACTGAACAACAACAACAAAACATGTCTGTAGTAGAATCTTATGGCTTTAGTTTAGGGCAGTGGTCCCCAACATGGTGCCTGTGGGTGCTATGGCCCCCGGTGACACCTTTCCTGGTGTCCACCAGGGTTTTTTATGACGTGTGCAGTTCCAGGTGGGGCTTTTGCTTCTAATTGGCTATTGGAGATTTGATGGGTTGTACAAATGTTCACGAACATTGATTTGGCAGCAGCTGCCACCACAGCACAAGGATCTTCACTGTGTGAGTGATGGTAAGCCGTGGCAGCCATGTTATGTCTGGCTCTGCCTCCTTTGGCAGCCATTTTGTAGCAGCCATTTTGTGGCTGTGCCCACTCTACCATGTCATAATTCCAGAAGTGCCCGCAGGTTCAAAAAAGGGCCTTCTTTATTAAACCTGAAATATCTGGGAGATCATTTTAGACTTTCGCTTGCAGAGGAAAGCTTCGAAGCTGTCCAGGCAGTGGTGAAAGGCAAATGAAAATTAATACCAAACCTCTGTTTAGGAATAAATATAGATTCTTCAAACGTTCTTTGAAATACGGACATGGAGTGTGGGTGTAGCAGGTCAGGGCTGGTATTTTTGAAGCAACTCTCAGTTATATGGGTGTGGTGCATATTAAATTGATGCAAGATGTTTCCATCAAAGACCCGTAGTTGGTGACAGGGTGATTGCATAGCATCATTGTCCATGTGGAACAGGGCACTGCCTAACCCTAGGGGTTATTTAAATTGAATGATGTCTTCAGTTTGTTGCTTGGGTTACTTTCTCATGGAGCAGACAGCCCTGGGATTTTTCATGGGGCAAATAGCTGGTTTGTATCCATTTTGAACAGCAGAATACCTCGAGTTTTTTGCTATTGGTAGATTGGTCCAGCAGAAATGAAAAAAAATGATATATATTATATGGAAACATCATAAGATGGAGAAAGGGCAAGAGCGGAGGTTCAGCTATTCCAAGCCCCTGCTCTAAGACAGAACCTTCACACCTCATGAGTCCATGAAGAATACTTAACACTGGGTTAAATGTAATATGGCATTCTGTCTTCCAATAATGGTAACTGGATGCTCCAATAATGTTCATGAATGGGACATTAAGGTGATATTAATTCTTTGTTGTTAGCCCCCAGCAGCTGATAATTAAGGAGCATCTCATTTTAACAGAGCAAGAGTCCAGGAGCACCTTAAAGACTAACAAAATTAAGGCGCTACTGGACTCTTGCTCTTTTCTACTGCAACAGACTAACACGCCTACCCATCTTGATCTGTCATTTTAACAGAGTGCGCTATAATGAACATGTTCTCAACTGACCTCAGTAAATTCCACAGAGATCGTTTTCACAAATGAACACTAAAAAGCAAATTTGTTATTTTCTCATGGTATTTGGGGCAACTGTGTCTATTGTTATGGCGGAACAAAATTTCGAAGAAGAGACTTAAAATATGCATTTTAAGCAATGTAAGTTTTGCTGGTCCATGGGGTCGCGAAGAGTCGGACTCGACCGTGCGACTGAACAACAACGACAACAAAGTTTTGCATTTGCACTAGAGACTGATTTAAGCCCAAAGTATCACCTTTTTACAGACCATTTCTGCTATGGACTGTCACAACATCCATTGGCAGGATATTCTGACAATCAGTTAAGTATTGTATGAAGACAGATTTCTCCCCCCACTTTTTTCTCTCTGTAACCTGTGACTGCTTTTCCATTCCAGAGACTGATGCTAAGTTTTGTAACCTACTTTTTATTGGACTCAGGTATCTGTTGAGGATTTAACAAGCTGTGGAAGAAGAGCTCTTGAAAATGGAGAGCTTCCATACTGTTATGTCCTTCACAGTTTGTTCTTTTCCTTTAAAAGGGGGGCAGGAGAGCCATCTTTTCAGTGACTTGCTCCCTAAAACAAGAATGGGATACTGCCCTGATCCTTTGGGCTGCAGGGTGAAGGCAAAGGATGTGGTGGACTGCAGGATCAAGACTTTAAAAAGAAACCTCCATATTCAGAGGCAGTAAACCTCTGAATACCTGTACAAGGAGGAAGGCCTTGGCCTCTACGCTCTGTTTGTTGGCTTTCCAGGGTAACTGGTTGACTACCCTGTGAAAAATGATGCTGGATTAGATGGACCACTGATCTGCTCCAGCAAAGCACATCTTATGGACTTAAGGGATGCACCAGAAATGTTATATCTGTAATAAGAGACACCTGTTTCTTTTGCTGAAGTAAGGAATACCGTTAGTCATTCTGATATGGCAATACGGCGTCAGCTCCTCCACATCTCTTTGATATCCATCTCGTCTGCCAGGGTTTCTTTTTATTACACACTGTCCTCTTTGATTTCATTTGAGGTACCTATCAGCAGCACCCCAGTTCTGTACCTAACTGGGTTATGACAAGAGAATCCCCACTCCTGTGTTTAGGGTTCTTTCTTTTAATCACCCTGTAGTTTCTATGATGCCACATTCAGAAAGCCATCTATATGATTGCCTTTACTAACTGGACCCCCTTTATGAAGGAATTGGGGGGAGGTATTCTGCGTCTTGGGATCCTGCCACTCTTCCCTCTTTGGAGAGAGAGCAGGATCGGTGCCAGCCCCTTGTTGCCTGTTCGGTACCACCATCCTCGCCCCCACTAGCGGAGGCCGCGTGTGGGCCTGGCTCCTCCAGTGGCTGTGTGTGAATGGCGGGGAAGGCGCCCAATGGCTGATCTGGCCTCGTGGCTGGGAGGCGGGGGCTTGTTGGCAAGCCGAACTGGGGCTGGGCAGCCCCATTCCGCAGCCGGGGCTTGTGGTGCTCCTCTATCGAAGGGCGGAGGAGCAGGAGGAGGAGGGAGAGGCTGCCCACTGCTCGGACGCCTGGGTTTGTCCGGGCGCCACCTGTGATGCGGACGCTAGAGCAGCGGGCGGGGAACAGCGATGCGCGCACCGGGCGCGCGTTGAGCAGAGGGAGACGCCGGGCGCCCGCAGGGGGTGGAGGAAGAGGTCGGTGAGCTCCGCGGAATGGGGGGGGGGGTGTTTATTGTCTCTGCATCTCGGGTTGGGCGGTGGGATCCCGGCTGCTTCCCCCAGATCCTGCTGCAGGGAGGATCGCGCGGGCAGCTCTTCAATGCGGCACCTGGCGACGGGGGCCCAGTTTCCACCGACGGCTTGGACGGCGCATGCTTTCCCCCTCGTTCCTCTTCCCTTGGGACCTGTCTGTGGCGGCGCCGGGGACTCTTTGGGGCCAGCGATGTGCGAAGGTTGGCGGCTCGATGGGCTGCGGGAGGAGGGAGAGGATGCTGGAGGAGGCGCAGCGTGGGCTGAACAGCTCCGTTTGTGCGCTCTCTCTTTCCCCCCCGTGCGTTGCCATCGGAGCGAGGAGGGTGTGCGCGCCCTCAGATAGAGACCCGGCCCGAGACAAGCCGCTCTCCTCGGGCGCTCCCTGCCTGCGGCTCTCCGTGCCAGATGGCCCCTATTAAAACAAAAAGGACTGTCCCTCCTTTCGGAGTCCTCTCCCCCCCCCTCGCGGCAGCCTCCGCCGCATGTAGTAGGCCCTGCAGTGGTCCTGATTTGTTGGTTTAAATAAGGCGTGAAAGGGTATTCTTGCTCCAAACTGTGCTTAATTTCACCGAGAGGTGCTGAGGCTCTACAGCCCCATAACCCGGCCTCCTGATTTGTGGGAGCATATTGTAGTTAAGCCCCCAGTGCCCGGGGAAAGAGGCAAGGGAATCTGCAAGCACACAGATAACCCTGTTTTGTTTTTAATCATAGTTTTCTCTTTCAAGGCTGAAGCATGGCATTCAGAGGAGGTGTGGGGGAGGGGTACATGCCCTGGATTAAGTTAAGCCCTGGCTGCTAGCCCCTTGAGTGTGTAGGGGATGGGTGGTCTGTTCATCTCCCCTCTCAAGCCTGGCCTGTGCCAGCCACCTCTCCTTCCCTATTCTCGATTCCAGCATGGAGCATATATACAAATTTGCCTTGCACTGCCTGAGTTAGGCTGTTGGGCTGTCTGGCTCAGTATCATCTAATCTGACTGGCAGAGGCTCTTCAAGGTCTCAGACAGACAAAGATCTTTCTGAACACCTGCTGCCTTTGATCCTTTAACTGGAGGTGCAAGAAACTGAACGGAAGTCAGGACCTTGTGCTTGGAAAGCGTGTGATCCTTGGTTGAGTCATGTCCCCTTTTCATCTGGGTTCCTTCTTGTGTTGAATGCACACGCTCGTACATGTGTGTCTTTGTGTGTGTGTGTGTAAACAAAA